AAAGAAAAATTGAAATTAAAATTCAAGGAAAATATTCTTATTAAAGAGTGTTTTCCCCCTTTGGTGCTTTGGAAGACAAACTCTGCTGTGAAAATCTGCCTCTAGTAAAATGTAACTAACGCCCAAAATACAGTATTAAACTAAAGGTCACCAGAGAACTGAGATCTCTGCCCAGCCAACAGCAAGGAGCATTTTGTCATATCCCTTAAAGACAGACAAGAGGCTGTGGGGTAAAAAAGCCAAAGCTGCGCATTCTGCAAGCCCCAGCTTGCTAGGGCACACAGCCACCTGACCTTCAAACCACAAGGAATGTATACTGCCAAACACACATGAACATTTCCCCTTTCTGAAGTTCACTGCAGAATTTCTGGGCTTGTTAAAATGTGTATGTCAGTTGGGCCAAAGCAGATGCTTTTTCATGCGGTCTCTCAGGCAAACAACTGGATGGTGGATGCACTGAAGGGAAAGATGTGTCCTGGAATACACTCTGCCAATTAGAGCATCTTCACGGGTGTGGAAGTGTCACAAATACAGACAACCTGACTTCTCACCAGGGCTCAAAACAGCAACTCATAAGAAAGCCACAGTCTTCGGGACTTCAGAGACTGCTAGGTCTGACAATCACCTGGAAATCAAGGTAATTTTTCTTCATCTATGGAAAATTCCTTTTCAATTCCCCAACAAGAAGGAACAACCAAAGCAGGCATCTCCCAGAAGAGAAGGTACAAATCTTGCATTTTTGGTCACAAACGTGCACACTGGCCAGATGCAGAATTCTGAAACCCTAAGCTCCTTCATTCTCAGAAGGAAATTAACAGTACAAACAATCTATAGGAGATGAAGTCATCCTGGCTTGGAGCAAGAAGCATTTCTGCTCTGTGAAGCCAGTGGTTACAGATTCACAGTAGGCAGCAGCCTAGCCTGTCTCCTTATGTCAGTGCTCCAGAGTGGTCCCATTTGTAATGATGGGTCAGGTCAGATCACCAGGCTGGCCCTGACCACTAGCAATGATACACGAGAGGCAAATGGAATTGTAGCTGGGAAGTGTTCTCAACAGCTAAACTTTTGATTAGCTCTGAAGCGGGCGGGCAGTTGGAATAGATCTCTGAAGGTCTCCTCCAATTGGAGCATTCTCTAATTGTTTTTCAGGATAACTTCAGGTGCCATCTGCTTTTGTTATATTTAATTATAACTGCAAGGCCTCAAATTACAAAATGGAAAAGTGCATTTTTCAAATATCTTCATGTGGTTTCTGAGAATAACCTTGCATGAACATCCCCATCCCAGATTCAAGCCAGTCATCAGCTGAGAGCTGGAATCCAGAGCTGCTAGTGCCCAGCACCATACAGGGATGCTCTGAGCCCTGATTAATTCTGAGCCCAGGGAGGGTTGATATCTCCCAGTGCAACATGTAAAACCAAGGAACGTTAACATACTGAGCCTGGCCTCTCAGTGCAAAAAGCCATCAGAGCCAGGAAATGCCCAACAAGAACTAAGGCCATCTCAATTTATCACTGTGATATAACTACAGTCAGTGTTTCTTCACCTTTTCCCCCACCTACTGCACCTTTCCTCTTCAGACACAAACACATGATCTTTCCACTGTGACTTTCCCCACTGATAAACAACAGTGGCTGATAAGTTTCACAGACAATCAAAAGGCATGACAGGGAGGACCATCTACTTTCAGGATGCTCCAGCATTTTTCTGTCTTCTGTGCCAGGAAGGATATTTCAAAACATGACAGGACACCAAATATTGACAGAAGTAATATTCAACAACATCCTGAGTCTATCCAGTATGAGATGGGAGAAATACACAAGAGCAGTCTAGAAGAAAGTTCCAAAATGAACATGAAATGAATAAATTTGACTAAAAATATAAAGTAAACTGAAACTAGAGCTTTTCATCTAGAAGAGAAAGGCCAAATATACATGAAGCTAACTGAGGACTTGTTTTTGCCATCAGTGTTACATAGATACGATCTTTGTGGGGGACAGAATAAAACTCACAGTGAATTAAATATTTTGAGGCCAGAGGAGCCATTAGGTCATCAAGTCTGATCTCACTGTGCAACACGTTCCAGAATTGCACCAAATCATTCCTGCTTTAGGTACATATTTTCTCCAGAAAGAAAAACTATTTTGTCGGAAAAGCATAAATACTTGGAGTATTATAATTCAAAAGAAACTCCTGAGGACTTTATGCACTCCCATACGGGTAAGGCGAGCATCAGATGTGACCTGGAAGCCAAGAAAAGGGGAATGATACCAGCTCTCAGCCCACAGGCTGTAACTGCACCTCATCCATCTGCTCCATCCCTGTCTTTCAACTCCAGACCCATTCAATCCCCCAGTACTGCAATAATAGTGATGTTAGTACTGAGAAATCAGTGTTCCACCATCATTTGGCAGCACAAAGCAGTGAAATACAGCGGGAGCTGCCAAAAATAATAACCATGTTCCCACCAAAATCTTAAAAAAAAAAACCACTAAAAAAAGCTTTTATTTTAAAAGAAAAAGCAAGAAAAAAGGCTAGTGTTTAAATCCTCTTTCCTCATACTTTAATTGAGCCCAGGGTTATGCCACAATTCAGGTAAATGATGTTTATATAACTGGCATTTGGCTGAATGCATAATTCCTATTTAACGGCTGAAGAGAGGCATTTTGGGGCTTCAAAGAAATCTGACAGGTAATTCCCACTGTTGTTCTGCAGGGTAGCTGAGAGGTAATTATCCTTCTCACTAGTAAATCAATTAGGAATGAATGTATAGAAAGCTCTCCCCCTCCTCCAAGTAACTGCTAATCCTCTAAGCGCTAATGAGCAGACACTGCTAGCAACCCATCAAAAATCGACAGGAGCTGTGAGGCACGCAAGGTCCTATCAGTATCTGGAAACTGACACCTAATGAGAAAACATCTTATGTGGATAAGGTCTGTACAGTTCACTGTGTGCACATCTGATGCTTTTGGTATCATTTTCTCTACTGTTTATTGCCTCAAAGAGGTATTTTTGAGGCTCACAAGAGATCACTACATCACGTGCAACTGGGCAGCACTGTGCTCTTAGAGGTGAAACACAAGGGATCTAGATATTCTCTACAGGGATACCACTGCTTCTCAAACTGCTCTGTGATTCATTATTGATAGTTATCCTCATGAGCTCAGTAAAAATGCGATGCTTACTCTTCAGGCCATTTATGAGTGAACAATATTTACCCAGATGCATTTGGAGGAGATTACAACCTAAATGGATTTTCTGCAGCACACAACTTTGTGAATCTGTAAGGGTGGGTGGTACACAGTAAGCCCGATAATGAATTTGACAAATCCTGATGCTCAAATCCATTGATACCTTTTCCAAGCATTTTTCAGATTCTGAATCAATGCTTGGGATTGCTTTGCTGGCCAACAAAGTAGAGCCAGCTCCAGAGTAGGGCAAACCACCTGTTTAACCATGCACAGTAAATATATTTAGCAGAGTTAGAAAGAGTGAAAACAAGCTGTTCCCACAGCAACCACACTAAAGGTGGTTTCCTAAGGCTTTTCCTTACAGTTTGTCTCTACATTTCAAAAGATTTTTTGGAAGGGAGGAGAGGAGGAAAGACAGACTGACAGACAAAAAAGAAGATGGAGAAAGACCACTAATCCATAAAGCTCAATAGCTTGAAAAACTGCTGAAAGATAATCATATATCCTAGTACTGTGATTTATGAGGGAGACTTTACATCAGTGACGTAGATTTGTAACTGAGCATACTGCCTCCAATTTTGGGTGGGCAGAGTTGCTTTGGAAACAGAATGAAGCAGCATTAACTCTTCCGTGCCAATGGTGTCGATTCTGGCAGGGAGTGAGAAGGCCAGGAGAGTTTATTAGGAAACATTTTCATTCCATTTTGCTCAGAACAAAGAAGTCCAAGTAGTTTTCATCTTCTGCACCGGAAAATCTATAAGCTTCCTCCTGTCCACTGCCTTTTCCTTCGCCTCTTTAAACTCAAAGGCATACATTTTTGCCTATAATAATCAGTGCTATGACTGCTTTAAGGTTGCACACACTGAAATAAGCATCAATCTTGAAACCTCTGTGTATTGACCAGTGATGGAAAAAAGAATAGCAGTAATAACGATACTAGGAGAAGCAGAATACAAATTTGGAAAACTAACAAGGGAGACAACAGCTAGGCAGTTTGGATGTGATGAGACAGAATGTACTGCGCCCCATCCAAACAGCTCCAACCACTGCCAACATTTTGCTATGAGCTACAGCCCTCCCACATTGATTTCCGTGGGTAGCTGAGTGCATCTTTGTCCCATCACCTCCCTTGAATCCACACAGGCTGTAATTTTAAACCAAGAAAGCTTTGAGTAGCAACTCCTGTGCTGAGAGACAACTCTGAGCCAGACAGAGTCCTAATTGCATCACATGGAAAGCATGAACAGGTGGGTGAAAGCCATGACTTCTCTTCTACACCTTCGAATAACATCTTAGTTCTCTCACCCGCTTGCCTGAGCATATTCTCCTTTTGGCTCCTTGATGTGATATAACCAATCAAAATGACAATTACATTTCTAGCTCCAACTTCATCACAAAGCCAGAAAATACATAAACACTGAACGCAGGAAGAAATGCCCTTTACCTTGCTATTTCTACTAATAAAGAGACAGAGAAGGCAAACAGAGGTGTATTAGCTGAAGTCAGGGTAAGCAAGAAGCATTTGTGTGCATTTGGCTTTTTTAAAGGTGTAAAATCAAAAGCAAATAAAAGCAACCCTTTTACTCCTTTAATTTATTCAGCAGGAGATTAAGGACTCCATCCCTATCACAAGTAAAACAGGCATAATTCTACTGAAATCTGGGGAATTACACTAGTGTAATTTAGACAGCAAAATCAAGCTCCCATGAATTACCAATAGATTTGACTTCAGGATCATAATTTCTCTCAGAAGGAACAAAAAGTCATTATTTTGTTTCTATATCTACCAGCTTGATGGCTCTCCCTTACCTTCCTCTTGTTAGTGGGACATACATAAAAGTAGCTCAGCACAGTCTTCAGGCCTACTTTGTCATTTAGTTTTTCGTAGGTAGTGCCATAGTCTGTTGACCTGGAGAAAAGAGGAGACAAAAAGAGTGTATGTGGTTATTATGGGAAGGAAAGTGACTGTGTGAACAGACATTTGGGGTTGCAGCTTGAACATTATTAACCTTAAAATAGAAGCTTTTGTGCTTCATTCAGAACTGCAAGTGGAAAAGAAAAAACTTGAGTCCTTTGGGATAGGATCTGTCACTGCATCAGTTGATCCTACAGCACCTGGGAAACTATGGTCTACCCATGAAAATTTCTGTGGACTCTGCACTCACACGCTGGTGGGGGATTGTAAATGATATTTATACAAAGACTCTGATCTCAGCAGCATCCTTAGCACAAATTCCCTTTTCAGACAAATCCAGCAGAAGAATCCAAATTAAACTCATCAACAAAAATTTTAAGTAGGCTGATTTTTGACTTCGAGATGGGGATACAAATGTGGCTCAGAATTGTAACAGCTGAATTCATATCTAGATAAAAATGTATCTAAACTGGCATCTTCAGTCCTCAGTCACCCCCATCCTACTCTGTGCCAGGAACTGAGTTTTTCTGAGATGCAGAGACAGATTCAGGCCCCTACACAAGCAAACCCCACTCAGAAGAGCAGATGATCTGGGGGTGGCATTACTCGTTCGTGACTGGGGGAAAAAAAAAAGAGTTGCTTCGTCACAGAGGGTTTTCTGTAGTTTCCTCCTCCACATTTGTGAGCATGTTCGAAACCTCACTTTGCCCTGCTTGTTTCTTTTCTGCTTTCACACACTGCTTTTCCTAACAAACAAGGTTTTTCCCACCAGAACAAATTGACAACTACATAGGCCAGGATCCTACACCTGAACAGATGTCAACACCAGGTGCTTTAGAAGGGTATGAACCTGCACAAACAGCCAGCTTGCCACATCTAAATTGTACATAGAGCCCAGCTGCTGACCCTATGGCAGCTTCTATCGTATAGACAGAGAAAAATACGAACCTCAGTGGGTGGACAAGAAAAGATTAACAGAAAGCCTGCCTGGATGTACCTATGATGTTATTAAGATCAGAATTCACAGCCCCTGCCCTCTTTTCCCTACTCAGCCTTTCTTTTTACTAAACAAGTGTTTAGAGAACATCCAGTGCTTTTCCTAATAACTAGCTCACGCCGGTCTCCAGCATTTGGTTCTGCCTCAGACCAGTCCCCTGTTCTTTGTCTGGCAGAGCAATGGTCCATATTACCCTTCCACATGAACAGTGCCACTGTGCCCAGGAACTCCACACTCCCACTCCGCTGGCTGCAAAACTGAGTGTTGCCAGGACCCTCACCTGGCTCCATCAGTCTCCTGGCTGCCACTGCAGGCCAGAATGACACCAAAATACTAAAATAGAGCCACTACAATATTAATGCTTAATATTCTTTTATACTAATGTATAGTATTGATAATCACTGGGTCCACAGAAATATCTTAGAGGCTATCACAATAACATACTGCATTTCTGTAGCAGTTTCCTACACAAAGCACTGGAAACTTTTTGTCTCACCAGGTGTCAATACAACACAAATTACCTAGCAGATTTCCCCCCTCCAGGAAAGCTTCAAACTGAAGCAGTTTGATTAATAAAACAAAATAATCCAAGCCGATCGATTCCACTACACAAGGCCTCCAATACACATTAATTCAACAGGTCAGGAGTCTTTAAGCAACAGCAGGCCCAAAGCAGTGTGTAACAGACAGAGAGGACATACTAAGTTTTTTCCTTCATTGCATTCTTTCAACTGCACAAACGAGCCACATCTGTGCCTGCACGTTTTCAAGCCACCATTCAGAGAAAGAGATCACTGGTTTCAATCAGCATTCAAAGAGAATACAAATAATAAATTAATATTCTCACAGAGCTACTTTGGTTTTGTTCTCCTAGTCTTTTTCAGATCTCCCAAAATGCCTTGCACTTCTGAAGATGCAGGCTGGATGCCCTAATGACTCTTTCTCATTAAGCCATTATCACTCATTGCATTTGCCCTTTGAAAGAATAGATAGAAAGGAAGTAGGATCATTATTTCATTAGCTTCTCCAAGGCTTTCTTTATTATCATGACAGTCACCATTGGCTTCATAGAAACGTCTCAAAGGATATCACAATAATATACTGTATTTCCATAGCTCTTTCCCATCCTAAGAAGCTGAAGCTTTTGTTTTGTGTTAATCCATTCAAACTAACAAACTCCCAAAGGGGGAAATATCATCTCCATTCTAGAGATGAAGGTACCAAAAGCTTACATAGGTAATGGTGCATTTTTTCAAAGGCAGGCATCTACAAATAGCCTTTCCAGCTTCTTTAATCACCAGGTACAGAGCTTGATAAACAAACCTGCTACCTCCTAATGCCTAATTTGAAAACAAGTATTTACCAAGGCACAAAAAAAAAAAAAAAAAAAAAAAAAAAAGAGAGAGAAGAAGAAATCTGGAAACCCAGCAGTCTAATTCAAACAACCTAGCCCTGAACACTTTCAGAGGTGTGACCCACAGGTGGAACTGAACAGTTTGGGCTCTGACAGACAGACCTGAGCCAGCTACTTCCAATATCATAATAATTGTTCATTGCAGGAATAGGGGATGTGAAGCAGAGATGTGGAATCCTCCCCACAGATGAGTGGGGATTCTCAGAGCTCTGTCAGGCAGAGCAAAGGAGAGTTTGTTTGTTTGCAGTCTTAGCTATTAAGTTATAAAGACACGCTATAAAATATATAATCAATCTCCTATAAGCAGAAGAGTACAAATGCTGTGACCAGATAGCTGGGAGGGACAAGTCATCCTTCTGGGAGGATGCGTATGGCTGACTGACCTGTGAGAAAGCTTCTCTGTGCCTGTGACTTTCCCCACTGTATGTGAAGAAGGAACAGCCATGATACTGACTTTAGATTATCAGTGTTTTATGTAAGATACAAAACTTTGTGCATCCACCTCCAGATCAGATACCCAGCATGCACACACTTGCAGCCCAACATTGAGAACCATGTGGATGCGCAGCTCCACTTAAACAAGCGGGAGAACATGACAGCTCCATGCACCTTGCACAGCACCAGGAGCACACATAGCTCAGATTAACATTTTCTTCCCTCCACCTGTGCCTGCAAACTGCCTGCCTGCAGTTGCCTTACTCCCTATGCCCTCTGAAGAACTTCTTGTTTTCACCCATTGGCCAATTTTCTCCCATTTTGACAGAGCAACAGAAACCCTAGACTAATGAAGCTTCCACAAATTTCATGAAAAACAGCAGCCAGCAAAAAGAGAGGAAACTTATTCACGCTCAGAAAAAAAGCTGCAGCATGAAACCAAATCCCATGAGACACAAGAGCAGGCACAGCTCTGAACACCCAGCTGCAGGAAAACATTCAAACACAGCTCACATATTAATGCACTACAAAGAATCCATCAGCACAACACAAGGAGGCAGGCTGCTGAGCTTCCATTGCTTTTGAAAATTTGTTTCTGTCTGTCTCTTGCCTGTCTTCTCCCTCAAGCTACCATCCCTGAGATAAAGGCATTTCTCAAATCAAGGTCCAGGTGGCCCATCCCCTGGGGCAGCCCCTTTGGCCAGCTCCTTTAGTGCCTACAAGTGGCTTAGAACTCAGACAAAAGCAAGTTTAGCAGTAACTCCATTACCCTGTTCTACACCACAGTAGCTGAAGGGTTGCAGAGTCCTAAATGAGGAATCAGGCTGTCTGCACAGCAATTTTAATACAGACAGGGCAGAGGGCTGCTACCTCAAAAAGCCACCTAGCAGCAAAAAAGCAGCTTTGCCTGGGGCATTTACCGTAAAACAAGGATGGAAGAATGGGATGCTGGACAAGCAGTGGTCCTTAGGAATGGGTACTCCCCGCTTGAAAGAGCAATGGTGCTATGTCTCTGCTTTGCTGAAGTTTTTGAAATAAAGTGAGATTATTTCTTTTCTCCCCTGTTTAGTGTTTTAGACTTGTTCCTGTCTCTTGGTGACTATAACCACTTATGGCTGAGCATCCTTCACTCCCACAGCCTTTTCCATATTTAGATACAACGGAGATAAACAATCTTTTCTCTCCTAGGGTTGCTTACGAGCCTGCACATAGTCAGAGTTGAAGCAAAGTCAGAGACTTGGGCAGTCAAAGGCCTGGAACAGAAACAGAACTCCAGAATAGACCTTTTTTTTTTTTCCTTTACTTCAGTCAGAAAAATGGCTCTACAAGGTCAGCTCAAAGGATCATCTAACCCTACATGCAGGATGCTATGAGCCCTATTTCTTATGCTATCAAAATCACCTGTGATGGAGCTAACCAACAGAATTCAGCCCTTTGCCCTTCCCTCTCTGCAGCTGACAAATCTGTATCTGGACACTGTACAATGAAAGTACCCACAGAAGTCCTGTGGGGTTATACTTGGTTACTTAACAGACTTAAAATCCAAGTATCAGTACTCTGTGAATCTTTCCTTTTGCAGAGCTTCTCCTTCACCCAAACGCAATTACTGAGTGGCTCTAACAAACGTCATATCGCATACTGTACATCTACAAAAAGAAACTACTCCCTCTTTTTATCCCCATCCCACTAAAGAAAGCTAAGGACAGTAATGAACAAAAAAAACACAAAAGCAAGAAGATGGTGCAGCTCCCTGGTATAGGCTCCCAGCCTAGAGCAAACTGCTGATCACAGATTTCCTAAATTGAAGATGATGCCTTTGTGTACAAAAGCCATCAGTGGGCTTTTAGTTCCATAAATCTGTCTAACCTCCCACAGGGAAACTTCTGGCAACTTCACCATCCTGTGGTAATAAAAGCCCACAACCTACCCACATGTGTTATATTAAGAGATGATGCCCTTTGTTTTAACTTGATAACGTAATTCAAAGCCCTCTGGCACAGCTTAATGAGAGTGAAACCATGGAACCACATCTGCCATTTGTGATTTCACTGATTCTTGTCACTTTTCCTACATATTCAGTAGTCCAGAAACTCCCCATTTATTTAGCCACTCCTGGCAGAAATTATTTTTCTCTCTAATTGTCCTGTA